AGCTTATTTTTGGAGGTGGGTGCCACACTTGCTTCCAAGCTGGTTTTTATTGTAAGATCCACAAAAATCAGGCCCTCCAGCCCAAAAGGCTTTTTAAATATGCGGACAAATTCAATCAGCTCACACCCTGTTGTGAACAAAAACCACACCCTAGTCTCAACTCCAAACCAGAAAACACACCTTTGCAGAATCTGGCTGTTCTATTCAACTTCCCAGCCTGGAAATAGTCCCAGACTTAACAATTAGCAGATATTTAAAAAGTCACACCATATCTCTCTCTCTTCCAAATTTGTCATTCATTAATGCAGACAAGGGACATATCATTACAATTGTGTAGGCTACTAAAACAGACAACATGTTACAAAAAGTGGAAAGTCAGTAAAAGAAATGAAGACCTTCAACCAGATGGATTGACATAATGACTGCAACATGAGACTACAATGAGATTGGTAGAGGGTGCTGTTGTTAATAATTTTGTTATTGTTACATACCATTGAGTTGATTACTGGTCACAGTGACACAATATATTATGATTGTAGTCTCTAGTATTTTGTTGTTGGTAGGAGCTGTCAAGTTGAGCATGACTCAGAGTAACCCTGTGAACAACATACCTAAATCCTGTCCTGTTCTGTTATGCCAAACAATATCTTGTCTATTCTTGGGACTTTTTTTTTCATCAGTGGCTTCAACATGGCTTGAACATCTTCCTTCTTTTACCATTACTTCTTCTTCATGTGGTATTTCCTGAAATTTGTCAACGCTGACTAATTTTTTGGTATGAATCTGTGCATCCTCTCCAGGTTCTGTTAATGCTTCCTGGGTTGTTTAAGATTTTGTCCACGGCATCATCAAGTACACTTTCTCAAGGCTTGAATTTGTTCTTCAGTTCTTTTAGCTTGAGAATTGCTAAGCAAGTTCTTAATTTTTATTCTTTGACTCCAACTCTTTGCACATTTCATTATACTACTTTACTTTGTCTTCTTAAGCTTCCCTTTGACATCTTCTTTTCAACTCTTTTAATTCAACATCTTTTCCTTTGGTTTTGGCTTCTTGACACTAACACAATTTTTATAGTTTTTTTCTGACATTTATTTTGGATTTTCTTTCTTCTCT